CAGCCCCCACAGGGACTAGGAAAATCAAGCAACGAAAGAAAATGCTTTCAGCTTCACGCGCCCCTTCCTGTTGGGGTGGTGACATTCGGGGCACTCGGGGCTATCAGCAGGCAGAACACATTGGGGGTGCATGTGTGTGAATCCGTGATGTGCCTGGTGATAGTTTAAAGGTTGCTGTGAAAAGAGCTTGAGCTGGGGACACAGGGAGAAGGAGCTTCCTTTCTCTGTCTCGGCCACACACACACCTACACCTATAACACAATGGGATGACTTCCACTTCAAACTTACCTAGCCAAAACAAACAAGCAAGCAAGCAAGTGAAAACAGGCCAAAGAAAGGGGCTTACCGCCAGTTTCCTTGGAGTCACTAGGAATCACTAGGAACATGTCTCGGGTTCTTTACAGAATCCCAGTTTGCACCCACTATCCTGGAGCACTGGCATGGGAGAAAGGAGACGGATCACAGGTCTGGGGCATGCAGGGGACTGGTGGTGGGGCAGGGGCCAGGGTCTCTCAGAGAGGCTTTAATGAGAGGGAGGAGGGGAGGGGCGGGGAGGGAAGGAGGAAGCAGAAGGCCTGGGAGTCCCAGTCTCAGAGTTGCAGTGACTCGGTAAACCTGAGTGGGATGACTTCAAAGGAGCCGCACCTTAATCACAGGTACTTTGAAGATGCTGGGATGAAAGGCCTTGGGAGGCATAATTACCTGAGATGTCATTCTCTGAGAGCCTGCAGGAGCCCAAGTTATTGTCTGCAGTGATCCGTGGTGGGGTCCCTAGTGGGTCCTCCTTAAAGGGGTAGTGCCCTGGAGCTGGGACCTCTGGGACCCCTCCCCCAGATGCTGCCGGACTGTTCCCCCATACCATCAGCCTCTCCTGCATGGGCAGAGCAGCCTCGGTGAAGCCAAGCTCTGGATATGCAGCTTCCTGAACCTCAACAGGCTATGGGATGTGGCCTCACATGGGACAGTTGGGAGGACAGAGAGAGATGTTGTTGGTACCTGGAGGCTAGGGCGAAAGAAGAGGCAGGGAGCAAGTCAGAGGAAAAGGAGGGATGAAGGTGTCACCATGGCAACATTTATTCTGCACACCAGACCCCTTCTCCCTCACCAACCCACATGTTGGCAGGGAAACAGGGCCCCAGAGAAGTGTGGCTGGAACGAGGATGGTAGCTGTCTGGGGATTGGGCAGCGTGAGGCTGGAGCTTGGAATGTGTTTACTTCTCTGAGTGATTAGATGTGTTCCTGGGGGCGCCTGTGTTGGAGGCTCTGGAAAGGAGGAGGTGATGTGGGGGCTCAACATTCTTAGCTACTATTCCCATATCTGTTTCTGAAATAGAGCATGAATAGGGGAAGGGAAAGGGAGAAAGGATATTGGAGTAGAAGGCTTTCCCCTTTGCTAAAACTATGCTGGGGCCCCACTGGAGCTGGCCTCAGGGGTGCATCAACATGCAGGCAGGAATTGAGAGGCGATGCCACTGCCTAAGAGGGAGCAGCCTGGTGACAGGAGGGGCTTGTGTTTCTACAGGTGATGAGGAGCACAGGGGAAGTGACTGAACCAAGTTCAGAGGAAGCCTAGACCTTCCTTCAGTCCCAAAGTTCTCCCTGTGCCCCTCCCCTCCCTCCTTCAAACCTTCTGCTGTCCAGTCATTAATCCCCCTCCTCGAGGATTCTCTGGCCTCCAAACTCTTGCAGACCTCTTTGATCTCCCACCAGTCGACTCCAAGGAAGTATCCCCACTCAGACCTTCCTCTTCCTGTCAATCTCCCGTGCCCACCGCCTCCCTTCTCACCTCCTGCTGATTCTTCTCCCCTAGAGTCAAAAGGTCACCTGTTGATAGGATTTAGAAGAGTGATGTCCCTTGTGTGTATGGGGGGAATATCGCATGGGAAGGGGTGTGAGGAAACTTGCTGGAACATTGACAGTCGCCTACATCTTCATCGGGTGGTGATTACACAGGTGTATAGAAACAGGTGAAAAGCTATAGAGCTGTACACTTAAGAGGTGCGCGTTTTTCTAAATTATACCTCAATTAAAAAAAAAATAGGGCAAAATGGTCAGCAGGGACCTGATTTTTTTTGCCATCCTTACCCTTTAAGCCCGCTGCCCACGCCCTCCTCCCTGGTGCCCCGCCCTCCCAGCTCTGCTCCTCCCTCCGGCCACCCACGCTGGGTCTGGAACTAAGCACCACTCCCCTTACTAGGCTGCCAGACGTCCAGGCTGGACACGTCAGAGCCTCCCGACTCCTCCCTCTCACTCAGCGGGCTCAGAACACACTGTGTTCCGGGCAGTCATCCTCGCCTCTGGATGCCTCTGTGTTGTGACCATAGCTCCCTAACCCTCCTCCCTGCCTCCTTTCTCCTTCTTCCCGTCTCCCCACCCACTGTCGCCAATTCGCATTCCTCAAGTTCACATCCCTGTGCCCTCTCCCCTAATCAAAGGTTCTCCATAGTGCAGATGCTGGAAAGATGGAAGTCAGGTAAGTTGGATCTGGCCTCTGCCTCCTCCAGCCTCGGATGCTCCTCCCTCCTACTCTGTACTTGAAACTCTCTAGCTGTATCGAGCTACTTCATGCTTCTGGACCTTTGTACATGCTGTTTCCTCTGCTGGGAATGACTCCCCTCCTCCAAACTCTGCTCAGGTCAAAGATCCTTGAAACACCTCTCTGCTTTGCCCGAGTCCACACTGGGTATCTCACACTGGACTCTGGATCGAGACGAGCCATTTGCCAGTCTGTCTCTTCTATGACTAGGCTGTGAGCCCTTGGAAACCAAGGTTACACCTTGTGTTTGAAATATGTAGTTAAGGAGAAAGGAGAAAGGATTAAGTACAAATTGGCAGTCCCTTGGAAACCAAGGTTACACCTTGTGTTTGAAATACGTAGTTAAAAAAGGAGAAAGGATTAAGTACAAATTGGCTGTCACAAAATAGTCACAGGGATGTAAAGTACAGCACAGGGAACATAGTCAATAATTTTACAATAACTATGGATGGTGTCAGATGGGTACTAGACTTATCAGTGATCACTTGGTAAGATATATAAATGTCTAATCACTATGTTGCACACCTGAAACTAATATAATATTGTATGTCAACTGTAATTTAAAAAAAATTTTTTTTAAGTATATGGTTACCACTATTGAGCATTCATGGGGCTGTGGAGCCAGGCAGTCTTCTCTGAGCCCGTGTCCTCATCTATAAAACAGATATCGTAATACATCTACCTTATAGGGTTGTTCTAAGCAGAGGGTTGGGAACAAGGCCAGGCACAGTGAGCTCTCAATGAATTCAGCCTACAACCCCCTAAAGCAGGTATCACCACCCCTACTTTACAGAGGAGATACCTGAGCTCCAGTCCATGCCCAAGGTCATAGGGGCTGAGCTGGCCCTCGGGACTCCAGCCCTGTGCTCCCCATTCCTCACCCCTGCACTCCGCTCCACTCTGCCCGACATCTGGCACCCCTGGCACCCACACAAACCCAGCCAATGTTTGTTCACTGCATCTATGAAAATGACTCACCAGGTGCCATGGTTGCCCCTCTCTAATCTAAGCAAAATTTCCTGGCGCTTGTTTGGCAGATTTATTAAAAATAAACCAATTGCATGGTTGACGTGTCCTGGTCACCCCTTGGCCTCAGCTTAAATGTCACTTCCTCAGAGGCTGTCAGCCACCACCCCCTCCCATATACATTAGCTCCCCGAATAAGAAACACAGGAAGAAGCCAGAACCAGTGCGGATGGTGGGTGGGAACCGTGGAGATGAGAGCTGGCAGCGATTCCAACTTTTTCATATATGTAATCTCCGAAAAATAAAATGAAACCGAAAAGGCGGGGGACACTCACTCATCCTTAAAAGCAATGCAAACCACAGAGAGAAGAATTATATTGTTACTTCTGGGCACTGTACTCTGATAGTACATGCTTAGTGAGATATATTCTAAAGACAAAAAATAATAATAACCCTTAGAAATTCTTTACTTCACAGGTTTACTTTTAGTAGTAATACTAAAATTGTAATTTTGAAACTTACTGCAGGACACAGCAAATAAGTAAACACGTTAGTGTTATTAGGAACTAAGATTTTTACTACAAAAGATAGATTTTTAAGGATTAGCCCATAGTTAGTCGGTGACTTCTCACTTGATCTCGAAGGGGCTCGGGATCAAACTCTATGGTCACCCCACACTAGGAAGGTCTCCCTGAGACTCACTGCCTACAGTTCAGGGTCCTCTGGGATTTCTTAACTTTGAGTGAACACCCTCGTCTCTGACGGTTATGAATAAGGACCTGCCTTTGCCTGGCCCTCACATGGAGGGCCAGCAGGAGACCCTTTACCAGGGCTGAGCCAGGCTGTGGGGGCACAGGGTTTTCAAATGCCAGCATTAACCACAGGGATTTTGAGCTATGTCTAGCGCTTTGAAATGCCCCAGCTGAACCTCTCAGAGGCCTCCACCACCTCCCCAGGCTAATGAGAAGTAGGAAAGGAAACCCTGTTGGAGACATGCAGGCTGATAAACTCTTATAAGTTGGTGAGACAAAGGTGGGCCGAGCTGAGGGCAGACCCTTTCTCAAGGCTTGGCTGAAGGAACTGCCCAGGGTCACCTGTGGCACAGTCACCACTGGAACCCAACTCCAGTGCTCCTTGGTCAACGATGGGGTTCAAATCCTGGTCCTGCCACCAGAGCTGTGACCTTGGGCAAGCTATTTTACCTCTGTACGGTTTCCCACCCTGAAAGCAGAAAGATGAATGGTCCTAACTCAGAGCTCTTATGTGGATAAGACAAGCGTTGTGAAGAACATTTGGAACCTTCCTATTCTGCGTGGTCCTGGGCTGCGGCAGCCCCTGGAGCTCATTAGGATGCAGACGACTCTCTGGCCCCAGCCCAACCCTCCTGGCTCAGAATCTGCCCCAGCTGATTTGCAGTTTCTGAAGCACTGGCTCAATCCCCAAACTGGCTCCCAGGTCTGCTGGGGACAAAACCCCAGGGCAAAGAGGTGGACTGAAGGCTGCCCATGTCACTTTATTCTTTTCTACTTTATTACTTCAAATTAACAACCACGATAAAGCTCAAAAAAGTCCAATATTTACACAGGAAAAAAGTACAAAATTCCCCCCAAAGTTCTTCAGTATTTTTTTTCAATTTTTTTAAATTACAAAGTAATAAAAAGCTTTGCTCTTTAATTAAAAAAAAAAAAGAAAGAAAATAGGGGAAACAGAGGTAAATAAATTAGGAAATACACACACAGAGAAAACAAACAAAAATAAAGTAAAAACAGGTGTTAACCGGGAGGGATGGATAAATGTGGTACCCAGCCCTGACCCAGGCTCCTCAGAGAGGCGGGATGCAGGGAGGGGCGGCCCCAGGGGAGAGTCAGGACCAGGGAATTCATTTATAACCCAGGAGCCCGATGCTTTCTGGGAGTAGTATGCACGGATTCTGCCCTAAGACCAGGATAGGGGGACAGAGCTGCCACAGGCTGACGACAGTCTGAGGGGTCGATGGTGGCAAGGACCCTCTGTGCCCTTCTTGAGGAACATGGAGGTCACTGTTCACCCCATGTCCTTGTCGGGGATAAGAACAGAGGTTCAGCCTGGCAGATGGCGCCGGTCCCTGCTGTCCTGGGATACAGGCCACATACATACACACACGCACGCACACAAGGAATCTCGGCCCCCATCACCTCGCCACCCACTCCTTAAGGTCTCTGTGAAAAGGCAAGAGGGACCCAAACGCTCAGGGGGACACTAGAAAAAGCCCACGCAGAAAGTCGGCCACCTTCATTTCAGGGGGTTGGGGGCTGTGCGTGTCTCCTGTGGTTCTGAGGCTCCAGAACCTGGTGGGACCTGCCTCCAACCAACCAGACCATCAAGCCATTCCCCGAGCTGCTCAAGCCACCTCCTGATGGCACCGGAGGACCCTCGAGGCTGAGATGTTCCCCTCCCAGCCAGTGTCAGCGTCAGCTGGGTCAGGGCCTCGGCGTCTGGCACATGGAGCCCCACGTCTGGGGAGCCTTTGGCAGCCTGAAGGTTGTGGGCAGCAGGAAACGCAAAGGGACAATAATCCTCGGTGCTGAGGGCATCCCATCTTCTTGCAGTTGGAAAAAAATAAAAATCAAAGAAACAAAATCCATCGTCGGTTTTGTGCTGGGTTTTTTTCTCTTTTTTGTTCTTTTGAGTGGTTTTCTTCCCCATCTTCTTGTTGATTTTTAAAAGAAAATACAGTGAAGACACTAAAAACGGGAGAAAGACAGATTAGGGGCACATCTGCCTCTGGCCACCCATCTGCCAGACCCCCTTCGGCTCCTGTCTTCTTGTCCCCAAGCCTTTGAGCTGGTCCCCCTCCGGGGCACGCAGGTGCTCCATTCTCACAGGAAGGACACAATCTCTCTCCCTCCTCTGTCCTCTTGGTAAGCAGCCACCACAGTCACACATCTGCCATGGACGGGCTGGTTTCCGGGCCTGAGGTCTGATGAAGGGCAGCTGGGCTTTATGTCCCTCCTCTATCTGTGCAAGGAATTTCTGCTGGTGCGAGGCCTGTCATGGGCATACGTTCCCAGGGAGCTCAGACTTTCCCCTACACGCCTCCAAAGAACACCCTGCCACCTCCCCTTCCCTAAGCCGGCCCTAGAGTGGAGAGCCGCTATACGCCATTTCAAGGCCTTCTGTAGCCATGGAAGTCCCATGAGGCTCGTGCTAGCCAAGGGCCTCTCCTAGACTTTGGAGGCCAAGGGCCCTCTTTGACACAGATAAACGCCTAAGCACGTGGCCCTGTTCTCAGTGCTTTGAATTAAGAGTTTAACAGCCCAGAGGCTGAGATAGAGCTGAAGTCCCAGGGAGGTCAGGGTGTGCCCTCCCCACCCAACCATCTGGGCTCAGTCTCTGCTAGAAACCAACTTTCCAGAAGATGTTAAGGCAAAGGGGTGTGGTATGGAGGACTGGCTGACGGACAGAGAGAGGTTTCCAGCAGAAATTAACAGTGTGGGCTAGGCCTGCTCAGAGGAGGCCCTGACCCTGAGTCGGGCAGGCTCCAACGTTTTATTAAACTCCCTTGAACATCTTCGTTCCAGGGTCCCTGGTACCATGGCCACACTCCGCATCCCTTTACGACACACACTGGACTCCTCCCGGAGCACAGGTGTCTCTAGACCTGGCTGGGCTGCGTCGGCAGTGGGCACCAACTCACCTAAGCAAATACTGGTCCAACGGTGGCTCCTTCTCACTTCCCAAGGTGGTCAAACGGCACGCTCGTCTTCGAGAGGGAAGGCAGAGACATGGGGAGAGGCATAAGCTGCCAGCAGTAGCAGCGTGGCAAGGTCCTCCCCACTGGGGAGCTCCACCCCACCCCTACTGAGGCCCTTGAGCCAAAGGAAGGGCTGTGTGATCTAGTGACCCTAGGATGTAGATAAGAACAGTGCCCAGGCAGGCAAAGCAGTTGTTCCAGGCCACACGCGAGTCTGGCCAAGGGATGCCCAGCTCCCAGCCCGTCCTGCTGAGGCTTCTCCACCACAGGCAGGACCACAGTAGGTCTCCTGCCCGCCTCTGCCAGCACGCCTTCTTTGGTCAACCACCGATTCCCCCACTCCCATTGTTCCGAGTCCAAACATGGCCCGTAAGTGAGGCCACTGACAGGATCTGCCCACCCCTCTATCCTGTGCTGACCGGGACCTGCGGGTGCTTACTGATGGCAGGAACCATGAGCCTCCCATGGGAGCTCCCTGCGGCCCACGCAGGCTGGGCCCCTGGCAGTGAGGGCCAGATCCCAGCTCTACCACTCGTTTGGGTCAGTTACTTCTGACTGTGCTCTGCAGGGCTAATCAGACCTCAGATTAAATGAGACCAAGTCTCCACTCAACAAAAAGAGCTTGCTCCAAGGTCATTAGAATCGGTGGACAGCAAAGTACAGAACCACCAGGCCTGACTCCGTGCCGGGGGTGGGGGAGGGGTGTCTCTGGCTCAGCTGTGAGGCGCGGAGGGGCTGGTGTGAGGGCAGCTCACCTGTGAGGCTGAAATCCGGGAGACCTCTTGCCGCCCAGTGAGGTCGGAGGACGAAACATTGGCGGGCGCTCCCCTGTGTAGCCTCATGCTCACCTTCCTCTCTCTGTCGACCCGTGAGATCGCTCTGGGAGAAGTATTGCCTGGAGGGTGAGGCAGGGGGAACCGCCCTCAGTGTCTGGGGCGTGGCCGCCCTGGCCCCCCTGGTCCCCAGATCACAGCCTGAGGTCCCCGCTCACCAGCTTGCTGGATGCGGGAGGCTGGAGTAGAAGCCACAGGCTCGGCAGCACTGCGTAGCCGGTTGGCAGTGGCCCCCGTGGGCGGGCCGGGGGGCAGGGCTCGGGTCGCGGACCCTCGGAGCTGCCCCATCCTCTCTTCGCGCTCGTGCTCTCGCCGCTCCCTGTCCACGTCCTCGGGGTTCCGGGCTGCACCCTAGGGGAGGCAAGATGAGACCTGGTTAGCCCTGTGAAGTTAGGGTGCTCCGGGGTCCAGCGCCCCTACAGGGCAGAACAGAGGGAAGAAAGCAAGGCAGGCATCTTGGGGACGAGGCATCGCAGAAACCCTCTGGTCCAACCTCCTTCCCACAAAGCAGACGCCTGTAGAGGCCTGGAAATGACCCACGATCACACAGTACAGAGAAACGAACTGCCCGAAGGGAGGAGGAAGCTGGATGTGAGAGGCAGAGGGCAGTCCCCCTGCCTCGGTCTCATGGGGCCAGTCGGGGCTGGGCGGGCTAATGCCCTAAGGATGACCAAGGGCACACCTTGTCCCTCCCAACCTGGGCCCCTTTGAACACAGGGAGCCCTCAGCACAAGGTTTCCCAGCAGAGCAGGTGTTCAGAGGCCCAGAGAGACTGACAAGGCTAGCCGAGGCCGGGCTTAGCCTTGAACCAGGCCTCCCAGCCAGGGGAGTTTTTCAAAGAGCTTTTCGTCCCCTGCCCCTGGACCTCGCAATGGCTCCGGCTGGTGCTGTGGGGGTCACCACCAGGAGGCCCAGGGGACCCACACATATGCTGCCTGCCTCAGGATGGGAGCACGGAGGAGCTGGCAAAGGAATGGGATAGAAGCCCCACTGAGGAAAAAAGATGCCCAGCAGGTAAGCTGGAGCAGAAGGGGTGCGTGAGCCCCTGGGGGCCCTGCCACCCAGCCACTGCCACCCCGAGTGCAAGAGGAAAGGGGAAAGGCCCAGAGAGAGGGGCACGGCATGGGAGCGGTGCCCAGCCGCATTACCTAGTTGGTCCTGGGGTCGTCCACAGGGAAGGGCAGGGGGCTGGCGTGAGGGGGGCCGCATCTGTGGAGAGAGCTGTGGGCTGAGTCGGGGCCTGTTCATGGGCCGCGGGGTGCGGTCTCCTGCAACCCCGAGTCTCTCCCGGAGGACTGGCTGAGAAGGCCCTACTGTCCTTGGGAAATAGGGGTGGGGTGGCCCTTGCCTTTAAGCAACTCTGGGAGGCAGTGGCTGCGGATCAGAATGATCCCTGAATTCCAGTGAGGAACCGAAGCCCAGAGAGGCCTCGTGACCTGCCTGGGGCCGCGTGACCTGCCACAGCTCTTGGCAGAGCTGGGATGTGAACTCAGGCCTCTGCCACCCAGTCCTACCCTGCCCTCTGTACACCTAGAGGACTTTGCAGAACATTCCAGAAATGAAAATCCCCAGCTTCCCACCCATAAGCCTGTTCAGGCAGGCAGGCAGGCCTGGGACCACCAGGGCTCTAACCCCTGACCTCCGATCCTCCCCCTACACGCCTGCCCACTCAGTCACAGGCTGGCAGAGAGCAACTCAGCTGGAACCATGCAAAGCCTGAGCCATCAGAGCTGCAGCACCCACTCGTGAAACCTCCTATGGACAGTAGGAACTCGTTCCCTGGGCGGAGAAACTGAGGCTCAGTGACGCCACGTGATGTGCTCAGAGGTGCCCCTGCCCTCTGCGACCCCAGAGGGCTCAGGCCGAGGCTAGCCCGGAGACAGAGGGGGAGCTACTCTCCATGTTTCCATCCAACCCAAGTGACGCCTCAAGAAATGCACACCAGGGAGATCTCTTGGCTTTTATTTATCCACAAGAAAACACAAAGGCCGATGTCTAAGCCATACCAGCATCCACCCGTGCAGTGTGGACCCCTGTCCTTGGCTGTGCTGAGTTTCTTCCTGGCTGGCCGGTTGGGCCTCGGAACGGCGGCTCTGTGTGCTGGGAGCAGAGTCGCGGGCTCCAAGCATCCATAGATTCCAGGGCCCTGATACTGAATGCTACAAGGTGGCCACTCCAAGGAGGAAGCTCTCGGTCAAGGGTGGGATCCTTCCTACGGAACAGTCTGCAGCCCATGGTGCCCAGCATGGTGTCCAGTCTGCTGGCAGGTGCTGGTTAGGGCTTCCTGCAGCGTGGTGTGGTATGGGAAGGTCCTGGTTTCAAGGTGAAAGATGTGGAAGGTCCCCATCGTGGGTCTGCAGATGCTTCTGCTAGGGGGTAGGTGAGCTCACCACGGTGGTGACGAGATCAAAGGTGCCCACTTATCCAGTCCGATGGCCTTGAAGTCAGAGGTCGGTGTAGGATGAAGCTGTTGGTGCCGTTGCTCGTCTTCAGACCCCAGGGCCTGCTTCACAGGGGACCCCAGGAAGGGGTCAGAGTCCCAGCAATGGGTGGGGAGGGTGTTCCTGGCTTGGCCTGAGACAGGATCTTGTCAGCCAGATGGTCCAACGAGAGGTTCTGTAAGGAGCCATCAACGTAGCACCGTCCCACAGAACTTTCTTTGGTGATGGACAAGTTCACACCTGCCTCGCCGGATATGGAAGCCGCTGGCAGCCACTTGTGGCTCCTGAGAACTTGAAATGTGGTGAGTGCGACTGAGGATCTACATTTCCAGCTCCGATCAATTTTAACTAAAAATTGGCCACATGTAGCCTGTGGCTGCCATGCTGAATGGCACAGGCCTGGACAAGTGAAACCAGTTCTTGGAGCTGTGCTGAGTGAGAGAAGGGCCAAGCCCATCCCAGAACCAGACTCTGGAATGACTTTCTACACAGACGGTCGATTGCCCACCCTCCCTGAGTGATGTCCTGTGGCGAGGACGCCTGGCCCTGGGCCCTGACTGCCCATCTCCCAGCCCCACCCCTTAGGTCCCTCGGCCTGTCAGGTCTCTGCCTGAATTCTGGCCCACTTAGGAAGCAGTACCAGGCTGCCGTCTGAGACCCAGAAAGAGGAGAGGCACGAGACCACACGTCGCTCCCAGCATTCGGGAGAACAAGGCCTCGGTCCGAAGCATTGCCACAGCGGGCCAAGGGCACCGCGACGAAAGGAGAGGCACACCGGAATGAGGCGCGGCACAGGTGGGAGACGTTTAATAAGTTCAGGTTCAATACAGAGGCCGCCGCCGGGGTCTGGCTGAAGCTACTCCCGGTGCCCAATCCCAGGCTCCTCTAGGGCAGTGAACATCACTCCTCCTTCCGGCTCTGTTCATCGGCAGCTGCTCCATCCTCAAAAATCTCGTGGCAGGGCTTTCTCTGCCATGCCCTCTCCACTGACCCCCACCACGCCAAGAGACACCTCCTCAGGCCTGGCCCCGATGGGCTCAGGCACACCTGGCGCTTTCAGAACTGGGGCCCTGGAATCCAGACCACAGGCCAGTAGTTTTGAGGGGGCAGCTCCTCCACCTCCTCCACTTCCTCCATCAGCCTACCTGGAGGGCCCTGGGTGCCCAGGGGCGCCGGGCACCTGGAAGGGACACAGAAAGCACAGTAGAGGCTCAGCCTCTTGTGCTCACCTGGTCAAGTGGTAAATCTTGGAAAGACCAGGCCTTGGAGGGTCCTTACCAGCAGGTGAGTGAGTACGTGGGCCCAGCAGAGGGACAGAGGTGGGGGCGGGGCCGTGCAATAGCTTCACTGTCACAGGGCTGAGCCTGGCTCGAAGAAGCCCCCTTTTCCAGAAGAGACGTGAGACAAGTCATGCGATTTCAGATTCCAGAGCTCCAGGCACAGCTGACGACCGCTTCTCACCACCCCACCCCCGACTCTTAAAAGAGGGAGACAGAACCACCACCTAGCAAGGCCCAGGGTCCCAGGGCCAGGAAGAAAGACACCACACTGAATGGGTCCAGGCTGGCCAGAGGGGCCGCAGAGAAGGCAGCCACCTGGGACGTGCAGAACACCAGGAGGAGGAAGGTGTAGGCCACGAGCAAGACGGCAGGGGGACCTGCCAGAGCCAGCCACGCCCGGCTGCGGCCACCTAGGAGGGACCGGAGGCCCAGCCAGGTTCTCCTGGCTCTGGTGGGAGGTGGCGCCCTGCCTCGGCCCTGGCGGTACACACCGTCGGCATCGATGAGACAGCAGTGTGGGGAGCACAGGGGCTCTGGGACCCCAGTGAGGTCACTAGCACGGTCCAGCTCATAGCTCCCGTTTTTGGGGAGCCCCGCCCACCACAGGGTCACTTTGGCCTTGTGAGTCAGGGCCTTCCCTGTCCAGTCCCCCAAGCCCGCCTTGGCCTGCAGGTGACTCACGAATTTGAGCATGTTCCAGTCGAAGACGTAGTCGTAGGAGAAGCCCTGCCGGTGGAAGAGGTTGCGGAAGAGCTGGCGCAGGTACGAGTAGTCGGGCTTGTCGTCGAACCGCAGGGAGCGGCAGAAGTTGAGGTATGTTGAGAACTCAGCTGGTGGGAGTTACAGGGACAGAAGAAGCCACTGTGAGGCCCACACGCCCAGGGCCCTCAGCAGCCAGCACTGTCCTAACCTCCCACTGTCCCTACGGATACTTTCGATCTAAACGGGGGCAAGATGAAGACAGAACGGAACTACAGCCCTCCCTGTGCTGAAGAAACCCTAGCCTGACTATGGGCGGAGCCTCTGAAGACTCGTCGAGAACAAGTGAAGACCTGTGAACAAGGAACGAGCGTCCCGTTTCGGTAAGCCGGTGCTGCAAGACCCCAGCTCGCGGCAATTCACCTGCCCCTGTCAAACACTCTGGATCTGGAGGTCATGGAGATGGGCGATCGATTGCTATCATAAACTCAAAAGGACGGTTAAAAGCCCGATGGGAACTCTCAACATGACCTAAGCCACAGGAAGACTTTCATTTTCTTCTCTGAAAATCAGGAGCAAGAGAGGGAGGGACCTCATTAAGATAATAGACAACATATAACACACAGCTCCTCAAACCCTTGTAATTTCTTAAGTGATCAAAACATCTCTTGTTCCAATGTTTGGTCTTTGACCCCATCCCTGATGCAGGGCTTGTAAATTCTAAGTGGCAAGAGAACCAGGGCATCTTTTGTTCTAATGAGGTGACTCTGGATGGGCTCCTGGATGGGAGCTGGTCACCAGAAAGACCAAGCCATCATTAGAAGCTTGGAATTTCCAGCCCTGCCCCCAGCTGCCATAAAAATTCCCATAGTATTGAGTTTAGAGATCTTCCGGGTGGGTGAACATATCCACACCAGCAGGGTGACACACCCCAACTCCATGAGGACAGAAGTTCCTGCACTTGGGACCCTCCCAGATCTATGTCTCTCTTCATCTGGCTGTTAATCTGCATCATTTATAATATCTTTCGATAAACTGGTAAACGTGTTGCCCTGAGTTCCATGAATTAATCAAACCCAAGAAGAGGGTACTGGGAACCTCAGATTTATAGCTAATTGGTTAGAAGCACAGGTGGTAACCTGGATTTGCAGCTGACCTCTGAGGCGTGGTGGGAACAGTCTTGAGGGACTGAGCCTTAATCTGTGGGATCTGACACTATCTCCAGGTAACAGTGTCAGAATTGAGTTAAACAGCAGGACATCCAGCTGGTGTCACAGAAAACTGCTGGGTGGGGAGGAAAAAACCCCACACATTTGGTAACCAGAAGTGTCAGAAGTGGAGTATTTTGTGGGAGAGTAAAGGAGACTCAGGAGGACAGACTCGTTTTCCGAACACTCAGCCCCTGAGAGACGACACGGGAACGTGGGTCGGGGATACTGACTAGTTAACGACCAGGCCTCTCGCTGTGCCCAAGCAGTGACAGAGAACACAAAATTAACGTTCTGGTGTCAGGGGCAGTGTTATCTCGGAACAGATCCCGTGTGGCCTCATCTTCCCCTTAGAAAGGGCCTCAGGGGGCCCCAGGCTGACCACCTCCCCTGGCTACTCACAGGGGTAGCCTTTGCAGAGGACCTCGATGGGCGTCGACATCTTCTTCTCACTGATCCGCTCGTACTTCTGGCGCTTGGTGGCCGCTTTGAGGCCCTGCCAGGGCAGCGAGCCCAGGTTGAAGTACATGAGCACGTAGCCCAGACTCTCCAGGTCGTCTCGACGGCTTTGCTCTGCACGGAGGGTCAAGGACAAGGTGAGGAGCAGGGTTCACTTGAGCTCCTGGCCGATGAGGGCCAGGACCACCCTCTTCCAGGACACGCTTCTTGACTGAGGAGGAACAGCCCACCCTGTGTAGCCAGCACACCCCCTCCCCATCGCATGCTGGCTTGCTGCAACCACGTCACAAACAGGCACTGCATTTATTACTCCTACAGAGAAGGAGCCCGGGGTTGAGCTTTCTCAACCCAGTCTAGGCCTAGTTTTTCCAGTTCAGTATTCATTCATTTGATGGCTATGCAGTGGGCACGTGGTGCCTCCTTGCCTGGCCTACCTTGTGGACAGGGCACAAGCTGTAGCATCAGACAGCGCTGGGGTCAAATGCAGCTTTGGCACTTGCTGAATCACATGACCTTAAGCAACCTGTTACCCGTGAGCCTGTGTTTCCTACGCTATAATGATGGGGAATTTCCTGTCCCACTCTACAAGGCTGCTGTGGGGGTGAAGGCACTCAGCACGTCACAGCTCTTCTTTGAAGGGGAAGACCTGGCTTTGTGGCAAGTTGGGGGAACATCCAGGCTGCAGAAAGCCAGGGCCCTGGCCGACAGCCCACAGGCGCACTCTGCCCGCCGGCCTCGCTCACTCACCAATGCCCAGGTGGGTGTTGATGGAGGCGTAGCGTGCAGTGCCGGTCAAGTTCTTGTTTTCCCGGTAGGGAATGTGCTGGTGGGTGCGGGCATCCCGGTACTTCTTGGCCAGGCCGAAGTCGATGATGTACACCAGGTTGCCCTTCTTCCCCAGCCCCATGAGAAAGTTGTCGGGCTTGACATCCCGGTGTATGAAGTTCTTGGAGTGGATGTACTCAATGCGGCTGATCTGGGGAAGGGAGGACAGCAAGTCACTCAGGGAGTGTTCCATGTAGGGGCCTTCACCAAGCACTCTGGGCCCTGGACTGGGGGCTGTGGGCTTGGGCCGTAGAGATGGAAAACACATACAAGGTTCCTGCCCTGGGCAAGGGAGAAAGATCTGTCTGCAACTACGTAAGATGAGTTCAAAGGGCAGGTTGGGGAAGGCTTCCTGGAGGAAGTGACATTAGAGAGGCCCTCTGAAGAAGGAGTTTGCTGAGACTCAGGGAAGAGAGCAAGGTAGGAAAGCTAATGGCGAGATCTAGACATGAAACCCAGACAGGCATTGGGTGCCTGCAGAAGCCTCGCCTGCCTGGCTGTACACCTCAGGGGACTTGGGAAACAGAAATCAGAGAGGCATTTCAGAGGTGGTTCTGGCAGCCGGATGGGGGAGGGGAGAAGAGGGAGCACCAGGGAAGCCTGAATTCCACAAGGCTGACAGAGAACAAGCGCGAGAGACAGGATGTCAGGATGTGTCCTCTGGCTCCAAGTACAACAGAGTTGGGCATGTACGCAGGCCCTTCTTTAAACAATTTGGTGGGGGGGGGCACCTAAATTAACATATATGCACACGCTATGTCCTCTGGCAGGTCAGTCCCTCCCTGGCCTCAGGCTCCTTAAATCAAAGGGTTTGTTTGGCCTGGCTGAATATTTCCTAAACCTCTTCTGAGTCTCACACCCTATGAGAACTGACCCACCTTTGCGCACACACACTTAGCCTAAAACTGCAAGATGTCTGCAGACTTTTTGCAGGCCAGGCACAGACCCGAACCCCCGCATAACCAGATCTCCATGCACCATTCCAAGTCCAAAAGCCTATGCTTTTATATTTTGAAGTTCTCCTCTTTTGAGTTTACAAAGGGTTTGGAACCTAAGGACCGCTCATCAGCATCTGCTCTGGTCCACACACTGTGTGGCGTCCCACATGACCTCATGACAACCCAGCAGGTCTGGAGCTGGGCCTGGAAGTCTGCATTTACCCCCTTGCCATTTTACAGCTGATGATTAAGGTCCCCTGGTTCAGGAACCAGGCCTGACTTATGTCCCTTGTCACTGCCTCCTGCTCTGGCATCCTCCAGAGGCAGGAGGCAGGGCTGGTACCCTGTGCCCACGGGCACAAAAGGGCAGCAGAGGTCAGAAGGGAAGCGCCAAGGCCGGCAGGCCCCAGGGTCCCCCGGCCGGGGTGGGTCAGAGGAGTACTCACCATCTGGTCGGCCAGGAGCAGCACCGTCTTGAGGCTGAACTTGCGGGAGCAGAAGTTGAAGAGGTCTTCGAGGCTGGGCCCCAGCAGCTCCATGACCATGACGTTGTAGTCACCCTCGGCCCCGCACCACTTGATGGATGGGATTCCCACTGTGGGCCGGGAAACGGGGCTGTCAAAGGCTGTCTTTCCTGGCCCCGGAGCAGCCCCCGGAGCCCCCTCTCCCTCAGCACATGTCCTCGGGCTCCCCACCCCACCTGCCCGACCCCCTCCTGGCTCTCACCTCCCCCCTGCATCATCTTGTAGAACTTGCTCTCGATGTGCAGCTGGGGGTGCTTCGTTTTCACACACTCGAGCTTGATGGCAACTTCTTCACCAGAAGCAATGTTGGCACCTGCCAGGGGTGGGGGAAGCAAGGGACAGGGTCACCCTCAGCTGGGCCGGCAGCCCCAAGCCAGCACCAACTTGTGTCTGCATCTGAGAGGCTCGGTGCCCCTTGGGGGAGGCTGGAAAGGTGGCAGAGGGCTCAGCATTGTAGCCGAGGGAAGCAGAGGGGATTGTGGGGCACAGAGGTGCATCTGATCCAGCTCAGACAGCGAGAACTGGCGCACATACAAGGGGAAGGAAATGAGGAACTAGGGACAATTCAGAGAACCACAGGCTGGTGCAGCAAGAAGGCCGGATGCGAGGGGGGACGGCGCGGGGCCACAAAAGGCTCATGGGCCATGTAAGGGGAACCTTATCCTGCAGAGTGGGGGCCACCAAGCTGGAAAGATGAGGTCAGTGGGGTGTTGGATGTGGAGGAGAGATTGGGGCAGGGCAAGGCCCTGTCTCAGGAAGTCACAAGACTCAAATCCAAACTGCATCTTGCCTCAGTTTCCCCAGTTATAATAATGAGTGGGCCGAGTTGCAGGGCTGGGCGCTAGGCTGAGAGGGCATCTCCTTCTCAGGCCAGGCATGACTGTAGGTGCAGCTAACGAAAACAGTGTTGTCTTAGCACACAGATCAAACAGGAAGCCCAGAAGACAGGACGACTGGAAGAATTTAGAAAGGATAAAACCGGAACCTCAACGCAGAGGACAAGACGGGGCTGTGCAACAGATGTCCTGGGACAACTGGACAGCCGGCTGAGAAACGTCACCACGGCTCATGCCACACACAAAGAGAAATCGCAAATGGAGCAAAAGTTCGTATACAAAAGAAAAGGTGGGGTGTGAGGCGGCCCCAGCACCTGGAAACCGGGTTGGCATTTACTGATTAAGTCGAACACATGTGAACCCGTGACCGAGCGAGCCAGCTCCCAAGTATATGCTCTCAGACACATGTGAGCACCAGGAGGACATGACACGAATGGACACAGCAACGAGGACCCAAATGTCCAACAGCAGGGGAATGGCTAACTGGCGACGCAGTCGCAGAGACGAATGCCAGAGGGCAGTGACAAGGAGGGGATGACCGCTGCCAGCGACAGCCGGGGGGCCCCGGCATCTTAACCCCGAGGACGAGAGAGCAAGGAGCTGCACTGGTCAGAAGAGCCCAAACGTCCATCAGCAGACGAGTGCCTGTGCGCGTAGTGGGATATTATTAAGCCGCAAGAAGAGAATACGTGCTGATACATGGTGCGACGTCCATGAATCTTAAAAACATCATGCTAAGTGAATAACCCAGACACAAAAGGACAAAATGCTGTATGGTTCCGTTACACGGAATATTCAGAACAGGCAAATCCATAGAGAAAGACAGTAGGCCGGTGGCTGTCGGGGGCTTGGGGAAGGGGAAGTAGGGACTACACCTGTTTTAACAGGTACAGGGTTTTTTTCTGAGAGCGGGGAAGATAAAAATGTTTTGGTACCAGATAGTGATGGTGGTTGCCCAACACTGGGAACGTACTAAATGCCACTGAATAATGCACTTTAAAAATGGTTAATTTTATGTTATATGAATTCCACCTCAATTTCTTAAAAAAGAAGAGACGAGAGTGTAAGCACATTTCTCTGTCTCAACTTCAAAACATACAACACTGAAATACAAAGAGTTTAGGGATATAAATGTGATAAAACTCTTTAACTAAAGAGTAATTTAAAACATCAGGTAATGGTTACCTCTGTGACGGGGGAGCGGAGGACAGGATGGGGTGGGTGACCAGGGGCCTTTCAAGGTGACAGGCATGTCCTCCTCCAACTGGGTGGTATGAAGGGAGCCTGACGCATACTTTATATGTACCCTTTTGTATCTCTTCAACATTTAATAAAAATAATGAGATGTTTTTTAAAATAAAAACATTATGAAACATTAGAAGGGATATTTGTCTTTTAACTTTGGGGTATGCAAGGCTGTTTATCCCGGACTTCATATTCAGAAGCCACTAAAAAATAATGGCTTCATCACCTCCAAGAAAAGGAATCCCTTCTCCATGGCAAAAACACCAGAAACAAAGTCCTAAGAAAAACATACTGTAACTCTCCTCAGCGGCAAAGAGCTAATATCATTATTGCCAATATATAACGAGCTCCTATAAATTGGTAGGAAAAAGACAAAAACCTCAACAGCACTCCACAGAGAAAGAAATCATAAATACAAAAGTGGCTTACTCATATGAAAAGATGCCCAAGCTCCTTTTAAGAAAAATGCAAATTAAAATGATCCCGACAGACTGTTTTTCACCTATGATTGGCAAAAGCCCCAGCATAAGAATAACATGCGCGTCTGCCTCTCATGGGGCTGTGTGGCAGTGGGCACTCCTCCCTAGGTGGTCCGGCTGGGGGCGACCTGCCACCACACAGCTCCTACTCTGGAGTTTACTTGACACCCTTGCATGGTGCAAAACAGGGCCTGGACCAGGCAGTCCTCGGCAGGCTGTTTGCAATAGCAAAAGCCTGGAAACAACCCAAAAGTCCATCATTCTGGGGACTGGTTAAATAAAGAATGGCCCATCCATAAAACAGAATACAATGGAGAAAGAATGAGGAAGCCGCTCTGGGCAGAAGTAGAAAGATCTCAAAGATACAGGAAGTGAAAAAGCAAAGTAGAGAACACTAAGTATCTCTTTTCAGTTAAAAAAAAAAAAAAAAAAGAGGTGGAGAAATACTATGTATCTGTGTTTGGTCGTATCTACATAAAGAAACACTGAAAAGAAACACGAGAACCAGTAAGGGCTGGACCCATCTGGACTGGAGGGGAGGACATCTCACTGGATACCACGTTATGCGCTATCTTTTTTTCTTACACCTTTGTTGAGATGTAATTCACATACTGTATACAATTACTCCTTTAAAGGGTACAATTCAGTGGTGTTTAGCACATTCACGAGGTTGTGCAATCATCACCGCAATCAATTTTAGAAAGTTTTCATCATCCCCAAATACCCGTACCGTTAGTAGTCACTCTGCATCTTCCTCCAACCCCCCCAGCTCTAGGCAACCACTAATCTACTTTCTGTCTCTGGAGATGTGTCTGTTCTGGACATTTCATAGAAACTGAATCATACACTATGGGATCTTTTGTGACTGGCTTCTTCCACGTAACATGTTCTTGTGTTTTGGTTTTTGGTTTTGTGTGTTTTCGCTTTTGAGCCACATAAAATAAAATTTAAACTTAAAAAGTAGATTACTAAATCCAGTGAGCAATGGGAGGGAAAGTGCTTTACAGACTGTAAAGTGCTTCTGACACATCAACATCCCGGGGGAGAGCCACACACGTCCCCGGGAGACAGCGAGGACGTGGCACGGAGAGGAGCTGGGGCTAACTGAATGCAGTCCGCTGGCCGTGCCCCCTCTCCCCACCCACACGAGAGCAGGGTGCCACCTGATTCTGCCACCTCCTAACCAAGGGACCCAATCAAGTCAATTTACCCCTCTGAGTCCCAGGCACCCTATCTGTAAACCAGGGATGACAGTACCTAGCTCATTAGGGTGTTTGGAGGTGTCAACAGGCTTAGCAGTATGCCTGGCACACAGTGAGTGCCCAAGGAACATTAGGTTTGATGACAAGTACCAACCCCTGTGCTTCAGAGATGAGCTCGAGGTGTCCTGACAGTAAGCAGGTCAGTTGAAGGAAAGGAAGAAGGCATCAGTACATGGCGGGAAAGGTGAGCCTCCTTGGGGGGAGGCTGCAGGGGCTCCTGGGGCCCGAGCAGGACGGTGCCAGACAGCTGTGACAGCACATGCAAAGTCCCAATGAGAGCGGGGTACAGTGAACCCTGAGTGGTAGCTGAAGATCACAGTGGAGTTGGGGAGCAGGGGAGAGAGCGGAAGGGTCTCAGGTGCCGAGCGAGGACCCTGGCCTTCAGCTTGAGACTCGGGGGCCAGGAACAGATGCCGGATCACAGGGTTTCTCAGTCCCCGCCCTGCTGATGATGTATTGTGGGGTGGGGGGGGCTGTCCTGGGAGCTGCAGGGTGTTTAGCAGCATCCCTGACCTCTACCCACTGGCTGCCAGTAGTACTCCCCTTTCCTGAGCTAAAACATCAAAAGTGTCTCCAGACCTTGTCAAATGTCCCTTGTGGGACAAAATCCCCTCCTCTCCTTGTTGAGACCCATGATGAAAGGACTGGCGTGGACTAGAGGGGGACGGGGGGACCCAAGGCTGTTGCCACAGACAAGAGCTGATGGTGGCCCCCTGCCCAGGTGGGGCAGGGTCTTCCGCACTCACAATCAGCAGACGTGTGCAGGGAGGAGAAGGGCTGGGGAGAGAGCCCTTCCCGGAGATAAGGTGGAGGGCAGAGGAGCCCTTTACACCCCTGAACCCTTACGCCATCCTGCAAGGGCCGCTTTGTAGCTCTGTTCCACACATGTGAAAACCGAGACACCAAAGGTCAATGACTAAATGCCACAAAACTTCCCTGGGACAAGGACCCAAACTGTTAGGCAAAGTCTTCTGACCCCCACCAAATGCTGGACACCTGTCACAGCTGCCTCCCCTAATGGGTCCCACCAGACCCCTTGCTGCCTCCGAATTCTACCGGGAAGCTGCCAGCCTTTTCTCTGATCTCCCTTAATTCTCACAACTGCTGAGTGAGGCTCAGAAAGGTTGAGTAACTGGCCCGAGGTCACACAGAACTGGTTCGGGGAGAGCCAGGATTTGAAACCTAGCCCCCAAGCCTCTGCTTTTTTCCCTCTCTCTATTCCAATTCCCTGGCATCTCATTCATTCAAGCAACAGACACATACCGAGTCCTGGACCAGATGAAGCAGCTCTGCCTGGAGGAGCTCAGCTCACCTTCTGTGGGAGGAACCACGGCTCTCTGTGACTAAGTGAAAAGTGCCAGGGCAGGGGACGTAGAGGTGACCCATCACTTAGATACAGGGGTTCTATGTGGGGATGGGCCAGTCTGGAAAATAAACTTGGACACAGAGAAGGGCTTGGACCTGGCCAGCCCTAGAGGGTCTGGGACCTTGTGTAGTTCTAGGAGAGATGGATGACCAGCTGCACGTGGGGGCTGGACACCCACACAGACACATGGACACAATCAGGAACCTGGAGGTGGGAGATGAAGCACCCCTACAACCACCTCGTGGGGAGCACCATTTCCCCCCCATTTAGAACCAAGGACCAGAGATTAAGAGGTCTAGGCAGTTCCCAAGGACACGCAGCCAGTGGCTGGCAGAGTGGGCACAGGCTTGGCCACTCTAGACTCTGTGCAGGCCATCTGAGGCCCGAACAAAGCTGGCCCTGCTCTCCTGGTGTCCCCTTATGATGCCACCAGGAGGGAGAGGAGGCCCGAAGAGGAGCTGTGGGCCTCGAAGCCACATCCACGCTGGGCTTTCAGTTGATCTTGGAAAGCAGGGCCTGGAGACTGCACCCAGCCCCACCTGCAGAGGCCATCTGGAGTCGGGCCCTGGCACTGGCACCAGCGACAAGAATATAGCCAGAGCTTTGAACAAAGGGAGCCAAGCAGGGCCAGCCAGGGAGGCCATACAATCACCACCATCCCCACGCCAGCAAGACATGGGCCTAGGAAGAAGCTGGCAGGACACTGAGTCGGGCCAGGGCCCCCAAGGCCCACATACCCAGCAAAGGCTGGACAGCCAGAGGAGAATGGGCTCCCTCCCTCCACTCAAGCCCCAAAAGACCCAGATCCTTTGACAGTAGCGAATCCCAGCTAAGAGGGAGGGTTGAGGGGGACACAGTATAAAAGCACTACTAGCGGGCCAAGCGTGTGGGGTTTTGCACGCTGTGATCCAATTGTTTCTCACCTTGGAGTCTCCACGCCCCCATTTTACAGATGAGCAAGCCAAGGCCAGCGAATCAAGGGCACACCAAACCCTGGCAGAACCTACTCCAGAGCCTGTATGGGAGGAGTAAATCTGGCCCTAATTTCTAAAATGAATTAGATGACTACTTGATAAACAAGAAGTCCTGCGCCCAGGGAGTTCCGGCCACATGGACCAGGGACACTGACTTTCTGAGTGACCTTGGGTTGCCCCTCCCCATCTATGGGCCTCAGTTTCCCTTCTGCAAAGAGAAGGCCCTGGACTGGGTGCTGTCTAGGAGCCGGTGTGTGTCTGTGCCCCAAATTGCCTCTCCATGCCCTCTGCCCTCAAGCAGGTGGCTCGAGGCTTCAGTCTTGAGTCCAGGAGCCTCCATAAGAGGGTCCTTTACACTCACCCCAATTTCACAAACAGTAAGGAGATGGGTACCCCATTTCATCGAGGCTGAGAGAGAGAAAGTGACTTATCCCAGGTCTTACAGCAGATGAGAAGGAGACTGGAGACCGGAACCTGGACCTGTCCCCAATCTCAACCTCCTTCTATCCTGCCCTAAATGAGGCCACTTCGTATGCCTTTGCACGTGACAGCCCCCATTTCCTCGTTCGTATTTTGAGAGGCCTTCACTAAACACCCACTCCGGGCAAGCCACATGCTGGAAGAGAAGGTGGACGCAACCCAAGGCCTGTGCACCCCGAAGGAGCTGGGAGTCAGAGAAAACCTTGCAGGCAGCGCCAAGCTGCACCGTTCCTCACTTCTGCTCTGAGCTCCAGCGGTGTTTACAGAGGAAGATGAGCTACTAGGCGCTCAGCAATGAACTGCACATCCGGCTGGCACTTTACAGTTCACAATGCTTACTCATGTCATTCGTGCCTCACGACAGCCCTAGGTCAGCCAGGCATCATCACACAAACCTTCTAGATGGGAACACTGATGTCTCTCTGATGTCTACTTCCCACGTTCTGTCTTCTACAGTCTCTCATACAGAGGGCTGTCGGTATAAAAGCTGCTGCTTTTTCTAGCTTTCAAGAGAAACCCTAGGGGCCAAGTTGACCATGATGCTCCTGCTTCTTGATGTGTGAAGTGGGGATAGTATGGTACCATCTCTTGAAGCTGCTATGAGGGGAGACCATGTTCACATGCCCAGCACCGAGTATGTGCTCAGAGACTGTATGCAGCCCCTCTCTGTCCCCTCTGATGGGAGAAGGGGTGGCTCACTGACTAGCGGAGTTCATACCCAAAAGGGCAGAGACCCCTCCCCACAAAGTTCTGAATCAACGAGCACGGCACACCGACCTGTCGGTCTTCTCTGCCCAGAACAGAATTTATTTACTTTCCAAGGACACAGGGACAGGAGTGAGGATAGGCCCAGGGGCTGGCCACCTTGCTCTAACAACTCCAACTGACCATTACCAACACAACATCTCCCCTGTGGACTAGCAAAGGAAGGGCTGTGACGCTGACTATGCCCTTTGGGCAGCTGAAAAAGTGGCATTTGAAGGCACAAGCCTCTTTATTCCTGGGGCAGGGGCAAGGACAGGAGCGAGATGTCCCTGATTTGTTTAAAATAACAAAATGAGAGCAAACTCATACTTTCAACAGGAAGCACATCCGGAGAGAGCTATCCTAAAAGCTAAGACCCCTGCTTCCCTGGAGGTTACTGGGGGAGCCTGCGTCATTCTGAAGCCTGCCTGGGCTAAATTCCAGGAGGCCAGACCACAGGAAGGGGGCCTAGCTGGAGCATGTAGTAGCCCAGACCTGTTTGTCCACCAGCATTTTTCTCCCAGGAGGCAAGAGACAAGGGGCTCCCCCAGCCTGGGCTTTCCCACGCTCAGCGGGAGTTGAGACCTACAGCATCTACAGCGAGAACCAGACCTAACTATTCTCCTCTGCCAGCCTGCGGCAAGCAGGAAGCCCCTGTGTGAGGAAGCCCTGAGCCTGCCTCACTCCAATCTGCAGCTTCTCCCTCCATCTGCGATGGCCCTAGGGACAAAATGACCAGAACATGCCACTACAGCTCCAGGGTCAACTTCTGACTTCAGAGCCTACAATCCTGGCATTTTTTCTCCTCTTTGTCCCGAAGGCTGTTCCAGGGGCTCCAGGACCACCGAGTTAGAGCCAGGGACACTTACCCAGGTAGATATCTCCAAAGGACCCACTCCCGATCTTCCGGCCCAGGCGGTACTTGTTCCCCACACGGAGCTCCATGGTTCACGCTGGCTGCAGAGGGAAGCAGAAACACTAGGGTCAGAGGAGCGGGGAAGGGAGGCGGGCCTGCTGGACCCCACCCCTCCCCCACCAAAGGCCAGGCAGAGCCGCCAGGAACTGGGAGACCCACATTATCCCTCCCACTGTCCAGAGAGAAATGCGGGCCTCGCTTTGCCTGAGGGCAATCAAGTGTCAGGTGGCCCGAGAGCCTCCACATGTGAGCAAGGCTGAGGCAGGCCGAAAACAGGTGTCAGCAGAGCCAGACAGAGGTGGAACTGGAGATGAGGCCCAGGAGGAAACTCTGGAGGACCCTCACTCAGGGACCCCCCAACAGGAGCCTCTCAGGAGCAGGCCGGTGCAGGCCGGTGACAATGGGGCAAGACCTTGAAAGGAAAATCAAGGACAAAGGAGGTGATGGGGAGCGGGACGCAGGAGCTGATCATCCTGGGGGTGCTACCATGGCAACCATCAGAAAGTTCCAACCTCCAGGGATGGGAGGACAAGTTGAACAGACGGTCCCTAAGGAGCTCCTCAACCCCTTTAAGACTCAGAAATTACAGGGTTGTCCTGGCTCCATCCCCAGCCCGGGCTTCTAGCGCCAAGAACTGGAGGCCAGGCGGCCACAGCCTGGCCTGGTCTTCCCAGTGGCCAGACCCTGCCAGTCCGGGCGCGCCCTGCAGGACGGTCACCTCCTTCCGCCTTCCAGCTGTCTCCCTCTCCCACCCTCGCGACACCGAGAACCTCATACCCGCTGCCCTGCACATATTTCTTTGGACGGACTGTTTGGGGACTGGATTCCTTCAAGCCTAGGACCCTTAGGAGGGCCTTCTAAGAGGCAACTGAACGACTGAGGGGACCCAAGCCAGGTTTTTAGCCTCCAGCTTCTGAGGGGTGGGAGGAGAGGTCTGGGGCAGAAGGCTGAGAGAGAGGTGCTGATCTGAACAGCTTCCTTACCGCCTGTGCCCCAACCTGGGTGCCCAAGCCTATGGGACATCTGGGTCCCTGGTAGAGAACCCTTTGCTCTGGCCTGGGGCAAAGGTCTGGGCACTCTGGGGTCCTGGCCAGCAGAGGAGGAAACTCAATGGCCAGGGGGCAGTTTCTGCTGTGGAGGGATAGTGAACAATGGACTATGAAATAGGAAGAGGAAGGGGGGACCCCTAAGACCTCGGAGTGTTTACAAGAAAACCAGCATAGAAGCCTATCAAGAGGGGCCTCCATCTGTAGATGGGGGCACTCAGGCCAGAGAGGCCATGCCTCCTGCCCCATAGCCCCCAGCAGCAAGTTGGTGGCAGCCCCCTCACCTAGGACCCACATGGGGTACCTGCCATACCACCTAGCGGCCTCAAACCCTCACAAAGAGGATTTATTTCACGCCAAAGCTGGAGGGCAAAGAGGAAGATGGAAAAGCAGCTCTGCTAGGCACAGAGGCTCTGCCCCTTCTCCATGCAGAGCGCTAGCCCCCAAAGCCAGACCCACCTGGGAGGGGCAGTGAGAGACGTCCACAAACAGGCAGGCTACAGCTCTCTGCCCAGCACCAAGAACTGCCCAGGACAGACATCCAGGCCCAGGACCTGGTTCCCAGGGAGCTGCCACTAGCCCTTCCCCAATGGCCACAAGGAAGTAGCCTCCACCCGAGGGCTGGCCAAACTCTGGGCGCTCAACCAAGGGCCTCTGCCCACACGCCTGGCCAGTCCCAGCTGAGGTGCCTGGGCTGCCGGCCGAACGCTCCACATTTGCAGGAAACTCACACGCCACACACCTCGCATCCACACCATCCCCTGTGTACACTCCAAAAAAGCGAGCAAGCAGACACACACCGTGAGCCCCGCTGGGGCGGTGGGGGCGGGGGGGCGGCGCGGGTGTGTACACACACACAAACACCCCCCCAGTCTGCGCTCCGCCAACGCCAATTCAGAAACCACACATGGCAGCCGGGAAGCCGCAGGTTCGGAAAGGAACATAAATACACCCGCATCCTATATTACATAAATACCCACGCCGGGTTATATAAATACCCGTGCCCTCCGTCTGGGTGTCTTACATAAATACACTGCACATGAACCCCAGCCCCTCCCCACTCACCGGGCTGCCCGCAGGGAAGGGGGTAAGAGAGGGTGTGCCAACCATCCACCCTACAGGAAACCAAGACTGCTTTTTTCCTGGCCACCCAGACCCCAGGGAAAGCCTAGACTGTCCCAGCACTGTCCCCCAAAAGCTGCCAGAGGAGAAAGGACTCAGTAAGGAATGGGAGAGGCTCTCCAGTTCTTTGCTGCTTCTCCCATGGTGGGGGAGGGGGGAGAGAAACAAAGTATTTAAAAAAAAAAAAAAAAGGCCGACATGAAGACTCCGGAGTTTCAGCTGGTTAAAACTAGACAAACTAACAAGCAACACGGCACAGGGACAGTTTCCTCACTCTCGGCCTCCACCCCTGGCCACGGCCTGGGCCCTTGTCACTGGACCACTAAAATAAAAATTGGAGGGGCATCCGAGACACGGAGGCAAAGAAGCCCCAAACACGGGTATTTTGGGGTGCAACTTAGACACTGTGGATCCCCTTCCTCTCTCCCCAGGTCCTTCTCCCTGAGAGAGGCTGCGGCCAAGAATAAAATACGCAAGGAAACTAAGGGAAAGTTGGGGAGGGGGGCTCACCCCACTTTGAGTTTGGGTGTGAAGAGGAGCCTGGGAATCCTCTCTCTAGAGATACCCTGACAGAGTTTTACGTTCCACAGAGACTTGCAAAACATGGATTTTTCACACGCAGAAATGCGAGAATCCGATTTGATAAATAACCCCCACCCCTTTCTTTCTCTCCACAAAGGAAAACAGAATCAGTGGCTGGGTGACCACACACCCCCTCACCTCAGGACCCCCAAGCTCCCCCACCCCCCGTGCAACATGAGGGAGCAGCGTTGCTGACCCCCAGGTCTGGAGCATGGAGCCAGGAGGGGAGGTGGGGAGGCACTGCTGATTGTCCGGTGAAACAGACAGACAGAAGCCGAGGGTTTTGCCGAGAAGCGCAAATCAAGTGTCTGGTGCCCTCAGTACCCAGCCCCGGACCCCCTCCCTTGAGGTCGCCGAATCACAGCCCGGGGGTGTCCGCCTCAGCCGGCTGGGGCCTTCAAGGGTCCGGCTGGGGGAGGGGAA